CAGCCGCCATAAAACCATTAGCTGACACAAAGCCTTAAAAGCTTCACTTAATGGCAAGCAGGAGGCTGGATGATAAGGAACCGACTGTGTAACTAACCTTGGGAGAGAAGAGCTGTGTTGACGGAGGGAGGGGGAGGGGCAGGGGCTTTGCTCGCCACTGGCTTGAGAGCGGGAATTTGGGAAGTTTATCTCATCTCTCGCCCCGAGGCAAACACCACCCGTCTTCAGGTCCCTGCTTCTGGGAGACTATTCCCACATTCAGACGCAAAAATAGAGGGAATGGGATCCCAGAACGGGTCTTGAGACGGTGCTTGAAGAAGCCAAGGAAGGGAGTGAGGCGAAGCGACTGTAGGATGGAGTTCCCAAGGGTGGGTGAGAGGATGAAGGCTTGGCCGCCGATGGTGGGGAGGGCCGAGCAAGTTGGAACCCGGTGAGCGGAGGGAGCAGACACGTAACGGATTAAAGGGGAAATCCAATTCCCTCCCTCACAAAGAGGCTCAAATAAAATGTTGCCCGACAAGTTAAACAGACTTTGAAATCGAGACGTGTAAAAGGGGAGGCTAACGGGTTACTTTTCATGCCCAGGGATTTTACACTTGAGGCTAAGACAACAGCCGCGTTTAAAGGGGAATTGGATAAATATTTGACGAGCAGAAATATAAAAGTGCACAGGGAAAGCGCGAGAGTTGTCAAGCGTGCATAATAATAATAATAATTCCATGCATTTCATATCGCCTATTCACGTCGCTGAGGCGTCTCAAAGCGCTTCACAGGATATACTGTAAAGTGTGTGCTTTGTGGGCGAAATATACAGGATGGCTCCAGTGAGGGAGCAGGCACAAGCCTAGGTTTGGGGGGTGAATGCGCTGCCGTTTCCGCAGCTCAATTAGAGTGAGCGCAACATCGCAAAGTACCGAGGAAGGAGACTTGCAAGTAACTGAGCAAAATTCTGCCACGTCGCAGTTTCTAATTCTGCTCGTGTGTTGGGAATAGTAAACCGCTTTCCTTCAACCCTCTACGAATTAAACGCATGGAACAGGCTCCCTAGGGAGACAGGCGGTGGAGGCAGAAGGTGTCGTTTGTTTCAAGAACAAATGATAGATTTCTGTTAGGAAATAATATCTGGGGATGCAGTGTATAGTGTGGGACACGACATGTCAAGCGACTGCCAGGATAGTAGATGGACCTTGGTCTTCTGTGGCCTTAGTAAAGTCTTATGTTCTTTGTTCTGCCCAGCGCTGCTCTACCTGACGGGAGCGGTTTGTAAGTCGCACTCCACTTCCCATCTATCAGGGCCCCCTTTGTTGTGAATGTGTCACCTCACCAGCAACGCCTTCAGTTGTCAGATGGTGACGAGGTCAGGGAAATTGCGAGCTTCTCGCTTTAAGCAGCTTCTGATCTCTGACCCTGGGCTGCCATCACACCTACTCCCTTTCCCCCCACACACCCCCCTCCCCCCCCCCACCCAAGGTCTTTCCAATGGACTCGCTCATGTGAAAGGCGCAGAAATTGCAACACCCCTCATCCCTGTGAAACGTGCCTCATTCCTGACTTACTCAGCTAAACACACTCGCTTTCTCCGCTCACGTCTAAGTTTACGTGACTTTTTCAGTTTTTCCCTCTTCCTCAACTGTACATCTCTCTCTCTCGCTCTTTCTCTCTCTCTCTTCCAAGTCTAGAGAGAGAGAGTGTGCGTGTGTAGAGAGAGAGAAAGTACGTGTGTGTGTGTGTGTGTCTGTGTCTCACTCTTTCTCTTTCCTCCGGTTGCAGTGAGTATTGTGTTTGCTTCCTCTGTGCATTCCCTCTCCCCCACTTCACAGCAACTCAGCAGAGAATGATTAAGATGGATACCACACATGCGGCCACTTCCCGAACTGAACACTTGTCAGTAACACAACCCATGCAGTCCCTCCCCACTCATTCTTCATCTGAGCAACCTTGGTTTAACGGTCTCCAACTTTCCGGGATGAGGTGAGCGAAGGGCGTCCCTCTGGGAAGAAAGCGCGAGCTCCATCCAAGGCAAAGGGAAAAGTCCAAGGATATGTGGAACTCTCTCTGTAGTTTGGTTCAGGGACTCTTAAAGAATGGGGATCATAATAATAATAATAATTCTTGCATTTGATACAGCGCCTTAGCACATCATCCCTATATCTCCGACCTGTTTATACTGAATATACTGTCATGTGGAGTGACTGCACATTTTGTGGGCGAAGAACGGAAGCCAACTGTGCACGGCGGTGTCCCACAAACAGTGTGGATTGAGTGAACAAATTTTATCACCCCCGGAAAGCGATCCATCAGTCTACTAATAACCGGGTTCCTGCTTACTGCTAGGGAAACAGGAGGAGTGCGTGTATGTGTGGAGTAAGGAAACTTGCCTAAGGTTTCGCCCTGACCCGTGCGGGAATTGAACCCGGGTCCTCTCGCTTGCGAGACCTCTTTGTGATGGGTCAGACGGCCAGCCGCCTAAAACAAAATCTGAAGGACGGCACCACTACCGATGCAGCTCTCGCCCCAGTGCCGTGTTGGAGAGTCAGCCGAGACTGTGAGTTCAAGCGCTGACAGCGGGCTGCAGCTCACAGCTCTCTGACTCTGAAGCCATAGCTCAGCCAACAGGGACGGCTTAATTAAAATGTACAGTAAGATGCTACAGAGATAGATTGTGCGGCAGGAATAATCACACACTGAAACCACATCCTGCTGTGGTGGGGTCAAGCCATGATCTCAGCCCATATAATGTACAGTGTATTTATTTTCTCTGCCGTAAATTCTTTTTCCCCCCCCTTTCTCCGCTCTCTGGGTTCAGTTAGGAGCACCTGACCTCAACACCTCTGAGTTTGGGAGGGGGAGTATTAGCCAAATTTTCCCGGCACTGATTGCCAAGCAGTGATCCACAATCTGCCGACCACAGGAATTCACTGCTGGCCTTAAGTTTGAGATCAGAGAGTTGGTGGGGGGAGGAGAGAAGGGTGGGGTGGGGGGGGGGGCGGCTTAAAAGCGATGAACATTGATTTAATCATTAAATTGCCTCATTATTTTGGTCACAGTCAGGTACATACAGTCACACAGGGGAGGAAATGGGATGTGGATTCGCAACTGCACATCCAGAAAGCTTTGCAATTGGCTGCTGCGTTTAGGCCACAAAATACACGCAGTCACTACACCTTACAGTATATTCTGTGAAGCGCTTTGAGGCGGCTTGAAGACGTGAGAAGGTGCTATATCAAAGGCAAGGATTATTATTATTATGGTGGGTTCCTTTCCTAATATTATTGACGATTTGGTCACTCAATCCACGGCTGTTTGTGGGGGACGCTGCTGTGCTCAATTGGCTGCCGCGTTTCGCCCACAAAACACACAGTCAATTAACTTTACAGTACATTCTGTGAAGTGCTTGGAGACGTCTCGCCGAGGTGATAAGGCGCTGCATCAAACGCAAGGATTATTATTAATATTTTTATTAACTTCTGCCACGGCAGAGCTGTGCGTTACTGACACTGTAACTGCACTAAGGTTAGTCCAGATGCCTGCCCACTGCCCCTCCAGATCCCCAATCATGTCAAGGCCATTAAAGCGAAAACATTTTTAAGAGATAACCCAGAAGGATATTAGTTAATCAGAATTCTATTAACTCTCCTTGAGTAGCACTGCAGCAACATCTGTAGCTAATGGAGCAGATGGCTGAGTGGGGCTGGCGGTAATGGGAAGGGGGTAGATTTGAATTTCAGATGGAAGATGAAGAACATTCTTTGTTTGAACTGTGTGCTGTTTCTTTAACCAATGATCTAATCTCGTCCTGCGGACAAAGGACATTTTCTGTCTATCCCAGCAGTTTTTGTACGCAGTCTGGAGTGTGTGGGTGGGTGGGTGTGTATTGGTGGTGGTGGGGGGGGTTGGGAGGGAGAGAGGGTGCGAGTGGGGGGCAGGAGGAGGAGGAGAGAGAGAGAGAGAGAGGAGGGTGTGTGGGGGGGGAAACTTTAATCTGAAAGACCCGACAGTTCCCTCCAAGTCGCCATCATCAATTTCCAATCCATCACAACCTGCAATGTCAAGCTCTGCATTTCTGCCTGTCCCCCCAACCTTCACCCCACCCCCCACCCCTCCTGTCTTGTCCCAAAGACCCTCAAAGCCCAGTGTTTATTAACCAGCGCGCGCCTGAGTTAAGCCATTGATTGGGGGATCAATAATCGCCCGGCTGAGCGCCGGAGGAGATGAGGGTCCCAGTGTCAGAGGGCAGGGGCCAGCACTCGGGAAACACTAGCACCCAGGTTGGGATGTCAGTGTTTGTGAGGTGTTTCCAAGAAGCCTGGCTGTTGCTGACAAGGCCGACACATTAAGGCCTCTCCTCAAAGACCCCGTCTCCTGTTGTGTTGACAGCTCGTGTCAGGCGTTAACCCTTCGAGAACCGACACGCTAACGAAATTAAATATTTTGACTTTTTTTTCCCACGTTGACTGAAAGGCAGCGAGTCCCAGCCTCCCTCGTTCCTGATTAACGGCCCTGACTTGCGGTTCCACAGTCACTGGCTGGCTCACCGGTACTTCGACTCTGGAGTCCCACGGCGAAGTGGTTAAAAGCACTCGCCTCACTAGCAAGAGGACCGAGGTTCGATTCCGAAACCTCAGGCAAGTTTCCTCACGCCACACGCGCGCCTCTGTTTATCAGCAGTGAGTGGGAACCCGCTTGTTATCAATTGGCGGATCGCTTTCCCCGGGGGGTAACAATACCAGCAACTGGGTACTGCGGGATTATGAACAGGCAAGACAGGACCCTTGGTTTGACAGCTAATAGATGGTGTCTCCTGACATTGACTGCAGACCCCCAGCACTGCACTGGAGCGTCAGCTTAGACTATGCGATTCGAAGCCCTGACCTGGGGGCTCGAACCCACAAACTCCTGACCCAACAACAACAACAACAACCACAAGAAATGACACTTGTCTGTATAGTGCCTTTCAGCCGCAGACCGACCTCAGAGAGTGATGGGACGAAGGCACTTACTTGCGACTTCCAGCGATGCGTTCCTGCTGACGGCCTCCCCCAGGTAGTTCCTGGCCACGCACACGTACACCCCCTCGTCGGGCTTGCTCCTGCGCCCGTGGACAATCCGCAGGAAGAAGAGTGAGCCGCTGTGCAGGAGCATGCGGTGGGAGCGGGGATCATCCTTGTCCGTCTCCACCCGCTCCCCGTCCTTGTACCACTCCAGGGTGGGGGTGGGCCTGCCCTCGGCCTTGCAGTTCAGGGTCGCCGGCTCCCCCTTCGATACGATTAGGTCCGACGGATGCTCCACCACCCGGGGAGGGAAGTCCTCCAGACGCAACCTCGAGCCTGGGCGCAACAGGGAACAAAGAGTTGGTAGTGTCCTTCGCTTCAGCGTCCTGGCTCACAGGACGACATTGACCGCAGACTCCCAGTACTGCACTGGAGCGTCAGCTTAGACTATGCGATTCGAAGCCCTGACCTGAGGGCTCGAACCCAGGGCCACGGTTTAACATCTAATCTGAATAACGGCACCTCCGACAATGTAAAAATCCCCCCCACCCCCAGCGCTGCAATGGAGCATCAGCTGAGGCTGTGTGATTCCAAAGTCCCGACCTGGGGCTTGAACCCAACAACCTTAATAACTTGAGCTGCCATAAAATGCAAGTTGTTTCTTCTCAAATGAAGATTTCTCATTGGCGTGTGTTTCAGAGAGAGACCTTGAGACACCCAGACCAGACACTATGGTCAGATCAGACCTTATGGCTATCAGGCCAACCAACCCTGACACCATGCGTTACCTGCCAGCCACGTGCTTAACTCAAGTCTCCCCGTCTGGCTGCAATTTCAATGTCTACTTCACCGTTAAGTGAATCTCATTTTGGTGACAAACAGATTAATCAGCTCACAGAAAGCAAAAGTGCACTTATCTCCTGTGGCACTGATGGGCCCCACAGGTACATTACTGTGAACAGCCATTCAATTTCACTGGTTTCCTTATCTGCCCCAAACCTGGCTCTGTCTCAGAGAGAAACATCTGATGCTAATATCCTCCACTTAATGACATTGTAGGGGGACATATTCAATGTCTAATGTGCTCTTCACAAAAGCATAAAGAGTCCATTACTGTGAAAACAAACAGATATGCACTCCACTAGGTATTTATTTAACGCTAGCCCAGGCTCAAATAATGTTCTCATTGTGGCTCTCTCTCTGTAACAACCAGACTGCCAGCTTTAACACTCCAGGTTTTACACTCTCTTGTTACATACCCTCCATAGGCTCGTTATAATACTCTGTTACATACTATAATAATAATAATCCTTGCATTTGATATAGGGTCTGATCACGTCGTTGAGACATCTCACAGCCCTTCACAGAATACAACAACAATAAAATTACATTTGTGTAGTGCCTTTCACATCGGGAGGAAGTCCCAAGGCACTGGACAGACAGAGTTATGGCCCCGAGCTGAGGGTTGGGGTGGGGGAGGGTGGAGGGCAGGAGGGGAAGCAGGGAGATCGAAAGCACGGTCGAAGAGGAGGGTCTACAGGTGGGTCTTGAAGGTGGCGAGTGAGGGGCGAGATGGAGGGACTATGGAGGGCTTTGAAGGTGAGGACCAGGATTATCCTCTGTGTGATGGGAAGCCAGTGGAGTCAGGCGAGGATAGGGGTGATAGGGTGACGGAGCCCGGTGCGGCAGAGGACACGGGCTGCAGAGCTCTGGATGATCTGCAGCCTATGGAGGGCGGAGTTGGTGAGGTCGACAAGCAGTGAGTTTGCAGAGTCGAGCCGCGATGTAATGAAGGCGTGTCTGAGGGTTTCGCACCCTGTCGTGTAAAGTGAATTGACTGTGTATTTTGTGGGTGAAACGCGGCAGCCAATTGCACACAGCAGCGTCCCCACAAACTGTCGTGGATTGAGTGACCAAATTATTATATATTTCTTTTGGAGGATTCATTACCTCCGGAAAGTGATCCACCAATCGACTAACAAACGGGTTCCTGCTTCCTGCTAGGTAAACAGAGGCGTGTGTGTGGAGTAAGGAAACTTGTCTAAGGTTTCACCCTGACCCGCCTGGGAATCGAATCCATGTGATTGCTCTGGGGATACTGCCCTAGTCCTGCCCGGTCGGTCACCAACGACCAAAGCCATTTCATTGACTCAAATCAACTGCTGTCAAGTGGAACCTTTCCTAAATGCCGGGGCAATGCTGAAGAGAATCATCAGCTCCAATGGAATTTGAGTCTCCTAATAACCGGTGTAACATTACAAACCACAAAGTGCTGGGAGCAGAACATGAGGACAAAGCTTGTTATCTGATCTCTCACCTTTAGCCTCCAACCATCCCCCCTCCTCTCTCTCTCCCCCTCTTGGTCGCAAAGCTTCTTGTCTATTTTATCACTACGCCACCAGTCATTGCTCCTACGAACTTACCTCTCTCGTTCCTCCTAAACTCCAAACCATTGTTCCTACGCACTCTTTCTTTCATCCGCAAGACACACAATCACAACACTTATACAATAATCACAAGTATATTCTGTAAAGCGCTTTGAGTCGCCTAAGGTTTCGCCCTGCCCGGGAATCGAACCCAGATCCTCTCGCTTGTGAGGCGAGGGCTCTAACCACTGAGCTACCGGACGCCATACTGACCGGCTTTTAGGGGTTTGAAATTAGGCCTTTTTACTTTCCGTTGTTGGCCCCAAAGGTTCAATAATTTTTAAGATTGGGATGTGAAAAAAGTAGCACAACAGGTGTGGCTTCAGTGGTCAGCCCTTGTAGGTGTGTGCTGCGCTGTCAGTATAAGGAGGTCTTAGCATACAGCAACTGGGATCGCATGCGTTTACACATCCATTCCACTGTCTACCACCCCAGCTGTCCCCGGCCACCCACTGAGATGCTTCAACCGTTATACACGAACCCCCCCCCCACCCCGACCCTCCAACCCAAAGTTTATGACCTGCACTGACAACTCTTAAAGCAACGATGCAGAATCTGTGTCGCTAGCCAGGAATCAGCTGCTAATTCACCAACTCAACATGGGAGAGGGGAAGATCATCAACAACAACACTATAGTGCCCCTCGCCCAGATCAGAACTTAACCGTCGAGACGTCTCAAAGCACCATGACTGTGTTTCCTGTGGCGGATCGCTTTCCGGGGGGGGGGGGGTAATAATAATCCCTCTTAAAAAAACAATTTGGACACTCAATCCATGACTGTCTGTGGGACACTGCTGTGCGCAATTGGCTGCCGTGTTTCGCCCACGCAATACACGCTTTACAGTATATCCCGTGAAGTGCTTTGAGAGTCTCAGTGACGTGACGAGGCACTGTGTAAACACAAGGAATATTAATAATTACGACATGATTCCAACTCCACCACCCAGCCAAGTGCCCTGTGTCACCGGGCACCTCGCACACAGCTCAATTCCTCCCACTGTATTATCATCGGCAACAACAGCGGTTTGCACAAAAGTGTTGAAAAATCACCTTAATTAGACAATGGGCTGTGAATGTTAATTCCCCGCAACTGTCTGATGGTTACAAAGTGGTCCCGACAGCCATGTGCACAGCTCAAAGCCTGGAGCAACCCGTGTTTGCTAAATTGCTGCTGTCAGCCCTCACATGAGTGATTATAAATCAAAGCTGTGTGATTAAACACACAGCAGCGTGCACGGTGCTGTCTTTCTGGGCACTGACCCACTAACTATGCACTACAATGTAATTAAATATTGACCAGATGATGCGGTTTCTATCAGTTTAACGGACCGCTGTGCTGATCAGAAGTCAGGCTGGAAGCTCTGTGTGAGAGTATCTGTCAGCGAAAGCATCTTTTTGTGCCTTTGTGTTCGTGGGCCGCAACAGGCAACAACCTGGCTCAGTCTTGCCTCCGAGTCAGAAGGTTTGCAGGCACAGTATTATGTTTGCAGTGTTAAACCTCTTCAATCAACCCCCCCCACCCCCTCCTTGTTCAGAGTCTGTATCTAAGTGTCTTTGTCGAGCCCTGTAGAATAGTGGTTAGAGCGCTCGCCTCGCAAGGAAGAGGACCGAGGTTTGATTCCTGGGCGCGGCAAAACCTTAGGCAAGTTTCCTTACTTCACACGCCTGTTTGCTCAGCTGCAAGTAAGAGGAACCTGGTCACGTCACTTGTCAGTTCAGTCGCTCCCTGTCTGATTGACACAACACTTGGACATCATCTGTGAGGGAGGGGCAGACACACTGCGGGGGCTGGGGGAAAAAAGAGGAAATGCCTCTCACTTGAAGACTCCCATGTCCACAGTCCCCAATGCTGCCCTTCAAACCCTGACGTCAGTCTTCCCCTTTACGACTCAAGTCTCGGTGGGGGAGAGCGAGTTGGAGCACAGGCCTGGCACTTCAAAGGAACAAACCATCCATCATCTTTGACGCACTTCATGAAAATGGAACCCAGGAGGTAATCCAACAAGTGCCATAAAACAACAACACCTCCCTCCCCTCCCCAACCATCCCCTCCTCTCCCCTCCCACCGCCTAGGGTAAAGGGTGTGAGCTGGAGTTTGAGAAAAATCAAAGTCCTCTGGTAGTGAGAACCTTCTCCTCAACTTAACCTCACGCCTTGACTGTACCCTAGTCCGTGTGGCAAGTGTTGCTAATTGGAAGGAAAGCACCAACGGCACAATTAGTTGCACTGATCAATGTTGGCAGGTGAGATATCAGCTGAGCTCGGTCTGTGGTTGCTCTACAGGCTCGAATTATACAATTTGCACTTATACCTCGCCTTTCAAGTGGTGGGGGGTGGGGGGGGGAAGAGGTGGGGGAAGAGAAACATCTGTCTTAATAATAATAATAATCCTTGCACTTGATACGGCGCCTTATCATGTTCGTCAAGATGTCTCAAACGCTTCACATGATTTACTGTAAAGTGGAGTGACTGTGTCAATGCAAAGATTATTATTATTTTTAGCTTTTCATAACTTTTGAGATGGAGCTCAGTTTGTCTTTTCGTGTCCAGCAAGTTTATGTGACCTGCTCAGGGTACGAGAGAGGGAGAAGAGAGAGAATAGATAGCAGCACAAAGGTGGAGGGGAAAAATCAACCACTTGTGTTGGAGGGAGGGGATGGTGGTGGGGCTTTAGGGACCGTCTGACACAGGAACGAACAAACCAGCTGGAATAATTATTCCGAAGCTGCAACAGGGAAGCAGCTCGACCCCAGAGAATCTGAGCTCGGAGCCAGGCTCAGTCAGACGATTCCTAGCAGAACAGAGCGTGGCAGTGTGAAGCCACAGGGCTCGTCTGGTGCTGCCTCCTCCCCGGCTCACTCGCTCAATTACTGCTCTGCCAGTCAACGGGAAGCAAATGCCACGTCCAAC